ACACCGGGCAATGATATAGACAGACATATTTACCTAGTACATCGGGCAATGATATAGACAGACATTTTCATCCAGTACACCGGACAATGATATAGACAGACCATTTTATCTAGTGCACCGGGCAATTATATAGATAGATCTTTTCATCAAGTACACCGGACAATGATATAGATAGGACTTTTTATCAAGTACACCGGACAATGATATAGACAGAACTTTTTATCAAGTACACCGGACAATGATATAGATAGGACTTTTTATCAAGTACACCTGACAATAATATAGACAGGACTTTTTATCTAGTACACCGGACAGTAATTTAGACAAGTCTTTGTATCTAGTACACTACACGGTGATATATACAAAACTTTAAAAATTAACACTTAAAGACTAGTTTCATTTTTTTTTTTAATTTAAAAACTAAAAATAGCAGTTTCACAGGTTTTAAAGTCAGTCGAAATTTGGAACAAATCAAATAGTTAGAAAGTAACGTCATATCATGGTATCGAAATCGATTTCTGACTGGCGCCGCAATGAAAAAGGCTTCGAGGTATGCTGTACTAGTGACATGTAGGCAAAGTAGTTACAATGGACGAATTCACTGGATATGGTGAATTATACTATATAAGTGTTATGTAAGGGTTGTTATTATACTGATAACTGGACAGTCATTAACTTTGCTATCTGTCACGATTTCATAAATTTCTCTAAAGACGATCTAGTCAGAGACGTATATAACACATGTGATTTATACGTCTCTGATCTAGTTTAGTAGACGTGTGAGTGCGGACTTAACATCGATGAGTATACAATATCATTGTTGGGACATTCGGAAAGCCTTGTACTGAATACAAATGATGCTGGTGGAGACGTTTTTCTATTCGTACCATCTGACCTCAAAAATTCCACATTGTCTGTAGCACTGGGTAACTTAATCAACAGCGACACACCCAATCTCGTGCATAGTTCATTCTCCTCAAGCCTAGTTGGTTGAAAACAAACACTATACGGCCTTAGTCATAACCAAGGACCACATATTCTGAATCTGTGGAACTCTTTATAAATATAGAACTCTTCCATGACCTGTTGTTGATCTGGTCAACTCCTTCACAAACCACAATATCTTTGTCGTAACGTAGATGAAATTATTGTCAACATAGATACGTCTAGAGCTAGGATTTTTAGGTTATGTAGACCGTGTGGTGACGAGGGACTACATCCCTCTAATGACACCATGGTGTACCGATTAACAAACACAGACACTGTACCTGATATAAAACTTAGCTAATGTGTAAACCATTTTGTACAGGATATAGATTTCCGTAAAATGTACACGATCATGCTGTACCGGATATAGATTTCCGTAAAATATACACGATCATGCTGTACCGGATTTAGATTTCTGTAAAGTGTACACGATCATGCTGTACCGGATATAGATTTCCGTAAAATGTACACGATCATGTTGTACCGGATATAGATTTCTGTAAAGTGTACACGATCATGCTGTACCGGATATAGATTTCCGTAAAATGTACACGACCATGCTGTACCGGATATAGATTTCTGTAAAGTGTACACGATCATGCTGTACCGGATATAGACGTCCGTAGAATGTACATGATCATGCTGTACCGGATATAGACGTCCGTAAAATGTACATGATCATGCTGTACCGGATATAGACTTCCGTTAAGTGTGCACGATCATGTCATGTACACGATCTTACTGCACCGCATGTAGACCTCTGACATTGACATAACATTTTTTTTGAAGATGACCTTGCTGTACCAAATGTAAACTTTCGTTAAATGTTCATCTTTATCATGAAATATTAATACTGAGATGTTAACCCGATTACTGTGTTTTCCATTTTTTCCGTGATTGTGGTGCCGATGCTACAGATAAAATCGATAGATTACGAGAAGTTGTTGAATTGTCTGGATATTATGTAACTGGAACGTTAATGCACACGCTTCTCATAAACAGTGCTTATACGATTATATAACGATAGGCACACAAAGAATCGTAGCAAAAAGCTTCATTATAACAGATCATTTGATCGTGAAAATCTCAATGTGTGTGTCATCATACTCCAGTACTAGTAACTAGTGTTATTCTGATAGCACTGCCGCTGGAGCAGAGCCAAATAACAGTGATGCTTTTTAATTTTACCCTGTTTACTGCGATCTTGAACATGAATGCCGGCTTTACTTTTTATTCAGGCCGGGGGAGGGGATTATAACCAGTATTTTTATCTGGGTAGGGATCATTCATGTAATCTACAATTTGATCATCATTTTCCACTTATGATATATATTTTTGATCAAGGAATAATGCAAATAACATTCATGCATGGCTACCATTAAAAATATCTAGAATTTATCATTCTTTCCGGTTACGGGAACTATACGACTGTCTGATAGCGGCTTTTGGTCATCGTATATTCCGGAAGTATGTCAAGAATTGGCATGTGACAGTCCACTTTTGTCTGGACATGTGACAGTCCACTGTTGTCTGGACATGTGACAGTCCACTGTAGTCTGGTATCTTACACGTGACTTAGTCAAGAACTGGCGTGTAGCATGTGACAGTCCTCTGTTGTCTGGACATGTGACAGTCCACTGTTGTCTGATATCTTACACCTGAGTATGTCAAGAATTGGCGTGTAGCATGTGACAGTCCACTGTTGTCTGGTATCTTACACGTGTGTATGTCGAGAATTGGCGTGTAGCATGTGACAGTCCACTGTTGTCTGGTACCTTGCACAGGAGTATGTCAAGAATTGGCGTGTAGCATGTGACAGTCCACTGTAGTCTGGTATCTTACACGTGAGTATGAGCAGAATTGGCGTGTAGCATGTGACAGTCCTCTGTTGTCTGGACATGTGACAGTCCACTGTTGTCTGATATCTTACACCTGAGTATGTCAAGAATTGGCGTGTAGCATGTGACAGTCCACTGTTGTCTGGTATCTTACACGTGTGTATGTCGAGAATTGGCGTGTAGCATGTGACAGTCCACTGTTGTCTGGTACCTTGCACAGGAGTATGTCAAGAATTGGCGTGTAGCATGTGACAGTCCACTGTAGTCTGGTATCTTACACGTGAGTATGAGCAGAATTGGCGTGTAGCATGTGACAGTCCTCTGTTGTCTGGACATGTGACAGTCCACTGTTGTCCGATATCTTACACCTGAGTATGTCAAGAATTGGCGTGTAGCATGTGACAGTCCACTGTTGTCTGGTATCTTACACGTGTGTATGTCGAGAATTGGCGTTTAGCATGTGACAGTCCACTGTTGTCTGGTACCTTGCACGTGAGTATGTCAAGAATTGGCGTGTAGCATGTGACAGTCTACTGTTGTCTGGTACATTGCACGTGAGTATGTCAAGAATTGGCGTGTAGCATGTGACAGTCCACTGTTGTCTGGTACCTTACACGTGACTAGGTCAAGAATTGGCGTGTAGCATGTGACAGTCCACTGTAGTCTGGTACCTTGCACGTGAGTATGTCGAGAATTGGCGTGTAGCATGTGACAGTCCACTGTTGTCTGGACATGTGACAGTCCACTGTTGTCTGGTACCTTACACGTGACTAGGTCAAGAATTGGCGTGTAGCATGTGACAGTCCACTGTAGTCTGGTACCTTGCACGTGAGTATGTCAAGAACTGGCGTGTAGCATGTGACAGTCCACTGTTGACTGATACCTCGCACGTGAGTATGTCCAGAACTGGTGTGTAGCATGTGACAGTCCACTGTAGCCATTGCATTCTTTCGAAAGTATACAACTCAGATCTGACAACTAAGTATAAGATTGAACACAGACATCTTCAAGCATTTATCTAGTGACCGTCATATCGAGGTCAAGGGTCGTGATTAATGATTGGCATATCGAGGTCAAGGGTCGTGATCAATGATTGGCATATCGAGGTCAACTGTCGTGATCAATTATTGGCAATTCGAGGTCAAGGGTCATGAGAAATATCCGGCATCTTGAAATCAATCTATCGACAACTTCTCAAGAAATAGCAATAATAAATTTTCATGATCAAATCCAAGATGGCAGCCACATCAGTCCCAAAATCAAACATGCACGACGAGGGACAGAGACTAATAGGAACATCCATATGAAATATGCGCTAGATCCATTCAGGACTTAAGAAATAGCAATAAAATACTTTCATAGCAAAATTCAAGATGGCTACCTGTCGGCTATTTTGTTTACACAATTTGTCCCAAAATAAAACGAGAACAACGAGGGAACATGGAAGTGGGGCCTACATATGAAGTTTGAAAACGATCCGTTCAGTATTTTCTATGAAATACATGTAGCGATAACAAACTTTCATTATTAAAATCCAAGATGTCCGTTTTATAGCCATTTTGTTTTTCTGATCAGTCTCACAATCAAACGTGCATAAGTAAGGACTAAGTGAAACTTACGTATGAGATTTGAGAAATATTACTCAGGTATTCAAGATAAATCGATTACAGTAATTGTTTACGGACAGACCACGGACAGACCACGGACGGATCACGGGCTGACCACAGACACGGGATAACCACGGACTAACCACGGACAGACCACGGACAGACCACGGACTGACCACGGACGGACCACGGACAGACCACGGACTGACCACGGACTCAAATTCACGGAATTCAAATTAAGTCCTACGTACAATGTCTTCAGTGTTGTTCTTCAAATAATATTACGAATTGTCACTTTGTGTCCAAATTAGGTTACGTGAATAATGTCTTGAATTCTCGCTGGATGTCTTCAATGTTTCCCTAATGTCGTTAATTCCTACTGGTGGTCATCGTATCAATATTTGGTATAATGACACTCTGCTAAACTATATCACATGTTGATTTGTAATGTGTAGAATTACTACATTTAGCTAAAGGCCCGAAGCGTAGTTACACTACCGTTGTACAACAAGCGCAGAGGAACAGTTGGTCAGTGTACGGTCGATGTTTTACGTCACTCACTTGTCCACCTGGCGCTACAGATTGGGTATTACGCCACACCGATGGAATGACCAGTCCCACGCGCGGATTAACGGTAATTGGTGCGGGCGTTAACAACATGCTCCCGGGGTGTAAACATGTTAACTTGACATCATACGTTCAATACACTCGGAGTTCCCCAGAATCTGGGGTCGGTTCGTACCACGCAACGTTTCAGAAGTAGTTAGGGTGCGTTCGTGCAGATGTATCAAGGAATAATCATCCTTAGTGTTTTGAGTGCATTGGCGAGTGAATGATTCGATACATCCAAAAGCTTCATCACGGATTAAGCATGGCAAAATACAATCTAATGTTCAAATGTGGCAGACTAGCAGGATGTGTTATGTGTGATTAAGAAGTGGTTCATTTCAACAGAGGCACTATACTTTCATTGGTTCTGCGGTGTAAAATTTTAATTCATAAATTATATCTGGATTCATACCGACGAAAACGTGGAATTACCTGAGGTAAGAAAATCACATGACTTAGCTGTGCTCTCCTTCTTACTGGAGTAGAATAACAGTAATAGTCTTGTTTTTCAATTAAACATTTGACAGATATGAATTTTAGAAACGTTTAGATTTCAGTAAGGTGATATATTACAGTATGCTATTAGTACTTATGTTGACGCTGGCCTACACAGTGACGTTAGAATATATGTTAAAGTTAGTGTACACAATGACGTAAGTATATGTGTTTACGTTAACGAATGACGTTAGCGTACACATTGACGTAAGAATATATGATGACGTTACGGTACACAGAGATGTTAGTATATATGATGACATGAGCATGATTTTGTGAAAGACATTGTATAACGGGTCTCAGTGAAAGAAGTGGAGTATAAAAACAAGAAATATTATTTTTTTTAAACAAAAGATGATCATTTTAGTGACCTGTGACGTACGGTAATTCACGACACGGCGCGGTTATGACGTGACCTAAGTATATGTCCCCCATGGTCACTGTGGGTTATAAGAAAGAGATGACATCAGTTTTAAAACGTTACAAGTAAAAGGGTTTCTTGCTCTGCCATTTCCGTTCTGAATACCGTATGCAAAATATGTGCGTTTGAAGTTGTTATGGTAAGCAATTTCCTGGTGTTCAGGCTAATGTCTGAAGTAGCAGTTACGTATGAGTGAGTGTGTGTTCCTCCCCCGTCCGCCCTTTAATATTACAGTGGAGCTAACACTGAAGAGATTCACTATAAAAGAAAAACTACCATACTGCCGTAACGTTCACTAAGAGGCCAATTATCTCATACTTCTATGATTGTTAATTGACTTGAAAATTACATTAATGATTCTGCAGATAAAAGCTTGAATACGACAGACATGAATCGAGTGAGTACGTGAGAGACGAGGGGGACGGGGATAGGATAATTTACAGAACACGGCTTAGATTTGCGGGGTTACTAATGGGCGTTGTGTTATTGACATAACGATTACATTTAAGTAGTTCACTAACAAATGTGAAATCTTCAAGATGTGACGCTTTTGAGGCGGAATCGATGTAGATTTATGTGTGACGTAAAATTACTTCACAGCTGAGGATATCATTTCTTTACGAATATTAGGATGTTAGTGTAAGTCACGACCGAATCCTACCAGGACGATTGTTAGTTATGTTCAAGTCCGTCCAGGACAGTCGTATGTTTCGTCCTAGTCTGTCCAAGACTGTTGTACATCACGTCTTAGTCCGTCCAACCGTCCAAAACTGTTATACATCACGTCCTAGTCTGTCCAAAACAGTTGTACATTAGGTCATAGTCCGTCCAAGATTGTTGTATGTAAAGTCAGAATCAATCCAGGGCAGTTGTTTGTAACGTTTTCATCCGTTCAAGACATTTGTTTTTTCACGTCCTAATCGGTTCAGGACAAGTGTGCATTACGTTCAAAGCCGTCAGGAGAGTTCCGTGCCACGTCCTAATCCATCAATGAAAATTTGCTCTTTAAAACAATTTGCTCTAACAGCTAGTCCTTTTCCTTCACGTTAAACGAATTCGTTCTGACCAGAAAATGTAGCCCCTGGTACCATCCCACTGACATCCCCTACCAGTAAGCTGTAGACCCTGGTACCATCCTACTGACATCCCTGACCAGTAAGCTGTAGACCCTGGTACCATCCTACTGACATCCCTGACCAGTAAGCTGTTGACCCTGGTACCATCCTATGGACATCCCTGACCAGTAAGCTGTAGACCCTGGTACCATCCTATTGACATCCCTGTCCAGTAAGCTGTAGACCCTGGTACCATCCTATTGGCATCCCTGACCAGTAAGCTGTAGACCCTGGTACCATCCTATTGACATCCCTGTCCAGTAAGCTGTAGACCCTGGTACCATCCTATTGACATCCCTGACCAGTAAGCTGTAGACCTTGGTACCATCCTGTTGACATCCCTGACCAGTAAGCTGTAGACCCTGGTACCATCCTATTGACATCCCTGACCAGTAAGCTGTAGACCCTGGTACCATCCTGTTGACATCCCCTACCAGTAAGCTGTAGTCCCTGGTACCATCCTATGGACATCCCTGACCAGTAAGCTGTAGACCCTGGTACCATCCTATTGACATCCCTGGCCAGTAAGCTGTAGACCCTGGTACCATCCTATTGGCATCCCTGACCAGTAAGCTGTAGACCCTGGTACCATCCTATTGACATCCCTGTCCAGTAAGCTGTAGACCCTGGTACCATCCTATTGACATCCCTGACCAGTAAGCTGTAGACCTTGGTACCATCCTGTTGACATCCCTGACCAGTAAGCTGTAGACCCTGGTACCATCCTATTGACATCCCTGACCAGTAAGCTGTAGACCCTGGTACCATCCTGTTGACATCCCCTACCAGTAAGCTGTAGTCCCTGGTACCATCCTATTGACATCCCCTACCAGTAAGCTGTAGACCCTGGTACCATCCTATTGACATCCCTGGCCAGTAAGCTGTAGACCCTGGTACCATCCTATTGACATCCCTGACCAGTAAGCTGTAGACCCTAGTACCATCCTATTGACATCCCTGACCAGTAAGCTGTAGACCCTGGTACCATCCTATTGATATCCCCTACCAGTAAGCTGTAGACCCTGGTACCATCCTATTGACATCCCTGACAAGTAAAATGTAGACCCTGGTACCATCCTATTGACGTCCCTGACCAGTAAGCTGTAGACCCTGGTACCATCCTATTGACATCCCCTACCAGTAAGCTGTAGACCCTGGTACCAACCTATTGACATCCCCTGTGATGTTTAAACCCTGGTACCATCCCATACCAGTAAGCTGTTGCACCTTGTGGGAAACAAATACAGAATAACCGTACAAATTAAAGGATTTGTTTTTAATTAGAAGTAAATATAGTGGAATATTTGTGTTTCTTATTTGTTTAAATTCCTTTACAATCCCCATCAATGAAAACGTACTGATAAGGAAACTTCCTTCTGTAACTTCGATTGTCGTACAGTTCTGAATGTGTACCAAATAAAACAAACAACGGAGGTTAATCTGGTCACCCCCAAAATGCTTTCGAAATTTAAGGCAAGGATGGTAATTTTCTACTGCTTTATTTCAACCAAATGTAACCAGCAGAAAAAACCCGTCTTTACTTCAGTCTTTCTGTTCGATTTTCCTTTATTTTAGAGACAGATGAAAGGCATTCGTCTGCAATATATTAAAAACATAACATTCAATAGAAACACACAATAACACACATTTAACAAATTAAGATAAAACAGGGAGTGAATGATTAACATTTTGACCAGCATCATACAATTCACTACATCATTTCACTAATACAATTACATTAATGGTTCACATCTCACATGTGATTACATACACATTTGTCATAAGTTACCCTGAGAAACGGTGGGAATTAACATGACCTTTGTCAACAGTAATCAGAACAGTGTTCACAACATATCCCACCCCAGGTAAGGCAGACGACACGTAATCACATAATCCTTCTTCGCTATACGATAAATATCGGTAAGATGATCAACTGAGATCGACAAACAATCTTATTCAATAGAAACTTACGATATGAAGAAGAGATCTCGAACTGCCAAATCGATCACAAAGAAATTGATTTGAACTGATCGCTGAAATTTGATTGGTCGACGCAGTTCGTTTTATTCCGTGAATAAACTTTAAATCTTTTATCTAAATTACGCACTCGTTGGTAATATATACTGAGCCTATCGGTAGAACATAGTGCCATTATACAAACTAATAATAATTAATATCATTGATATACATGTAATGTTAACATACAGTGTACATTTGGATCACATGGCTGTCATGTGACATAGACAATATCGATATCGCATTATATTAATAAAGCCTTAGGGAACGAATATTAACAATGAAATACAATACACTATGTGATGTAAGTAAAAGTACCTTGTAAGAGATTATTTTCGCGTTGTATTAGTCAGTCATAACAAACAAGAGCACCCTTTCTTTTCTAGTGTAACGTTTTCTTTCTACATTGTTTTCTAAAACTTATAAAAATGATTTTTTGCAAATACATATTAAAGTAGCATGTAAAAAAGTAAAAACAATTTAAATGTGTCTGTTATTTCATCATTGAACCCGGCTAACGTTTCCATCCAATCTAATTTCCCGTCTAAGTTTCGCACAAAGTTGCCTCTCAACTTTCTCTTGAAAAATTTTGCATCCCTTCTCTCGTCCCCTCTTTATTACTGATCAAAATTGCTTTTGCCGTTTTATCCCTAACTTTATCCCGAACAATGTTTCCGACCCCTTACAACTTTCCAAACTTATTATTGTATCCAGGAAAGACTCGAATATACCTGTACTATCCACGTGACCATGGGTCAGTCCAAATGTCGCCGTTTTCATGGTTTCTGGCATAACTTTCTCATTTTTGAGTATTTCATCTTCAAATTCCACAGAAACCTGTGGTAAATCTTTTTTCTTAAAAATTTATATCGATCGTTTTTTTAAAAATTGCTCTCTCTGAAAATATCCGATTTTGCGCAATGGTGGTCGAACAGTTGATTACATTATTGGACCTGACATAACTTTTCCATTCAATCGAATTTCTCTTCTTAATTTCGCACAAAGGTGCTTTTTACTTCCCCTTGAAGGTAAGTGATCCCTATTTCGTTCTCCTCTTTATTACTGATCAAAATTGATTTTGCGCAGTGGGTATAGTATAGACATTTTGTGTTTTCTATACAAAGCACTACTTCGACTCACAAACACTTTCATATCTCGCTCTACGTACAATCTGGCTGCCTGGTTTTATAGAATTAAGTAACCTTGTCTGTCGGAATGACCTTTGCCATTATAACTATGTATAGCATTTTATGTCTTTCGGCGACCATTAAATCATAAACATTGGTGAAACAGGGGGTCGCGTGTTCTCTTGTTGGTGAGCTTGGGTTTGAAAATGAAGATTTAATGTCTGTTTTTAATTACTTGTTTGACATTAAAACTGGAGAATTGA